AATAGACCTTCAGGGCTCCATGTTACAGCTGAAGAACGAGCCTGTATCGATGCCGTCATGTCCAGGTATGCTACCAGACCAGAGTTCAGGAGAATGGTACGACTGGCCATAGCCCCAGAGCCCAAAAGAACGTCTACGGAAGAGCCTGATGTAGAGATGAAGGATGGCGAAGCCGACCCTGCGAGTACCACTCCAGGAGTCGAGGAACCTGAACCACCTACGCCTGAGCTTGATCCGCAAGACTACAAGGATGGGGAAGGTCGTTCAGTATCCCCGACGAAAACATGGTCGCACTACCCGACATCGAATCCAGATACTGAGGAACGGAAAAGAGCTGCCAAACGCAGTGGGCAAGGTACAGCAACCGCTTCCAGCTGGAAATCCGCCTATGACAACCTCAGAAGAGTCAGAGCACGCGCAGTGAGCCAAAATGTGTGCTATTGTTGTGGTTCAAACCAGCATCACCTGGCTATTTGTCCCGACACTGAGAAGAAGGACGTGTTGATGAAATCATTCTCTTCCATGGAGGACACTATGCGCAGATGCTTCACCGAGGACGACAAGGCAATCATCCGACGTGATGTTGAGAGCCGAAAGAGGAAAGCAAAGTCATCCAAAGACGTCGAAGACGAGGACTATATGGATGTGGACGATGAAGATATTGAACTTCCCGAAGAAGAGCCGGAACTAGGAGGTAAGGTACCACCTCACTCTCCGAGAGCCAAAGGTAGACCACAATCGTCAGACTCTGCAAAAGAGGAATACGCGAAAGCGGTCGAGGCAACCAAGAAGGCCTTTGGGAACGCCAGCTTCGTCACCAGATTCAAAGAGCCCGTCGACCTCTTTGACATTGCCGATGACAAAGAAGGAGGAGAGTACAGGGTCGCAAATCACAGGGTTGATAGATCAGGTCCTGATGGAAAGAGGGAACTTGATGCACTTATTCAGGAGGCTGCAGCACTCGGAATAAAGATGCCCAAAGTGAAGGACCTTGCTCCTGACCCACAACAAGTTCAAAAGGCTGGATATCGGCAGATTGAGGTGACTTGCGATAGAGGAAACATCGAGATAATTCCACAGTATGGAGTTACATTCTATGTGGAGTACTGGAATGGACCGAAGAGGGATGCATCTTTCACGGATCCACCAAAGATGAACCCAGCAACTCGCATCGACAAGTCCAGCGAGGAGAGTCAGAGGGTCAACGAGATTAGCCATAGACTCAATAGACTGCTCAGGCATGGAGTGGGAAAGCATAATGGGATTCAATCGCACCGCGGTCGAAAACCTCATGTGTCCCCGAAGTGCAATGAGGGTGGATGGGTGAACATCGATGAGATCCTGGAGTATGACCATGTCTTCAACGATGGTGTCAATATCAGTACTATCTCAGGTGATCGACATCGTCAAGATGTCAAGACAGAGCGATACCAATATTTATGCAAGGCGATGTGGCATGCAAAGAAGTTGCAGAACAGAGTACGCTATCAGATTGCCGCCATTCGCATCTCAAAGGAGGATGTCTCACTTGAAGAGGAAAGGCAATACTGGGCAAACCTCATGTTTTATGGCACAGACGCACCGTCATTCCTGAAGCATGAACGTTGGATCGTTCCTTGTGCAATTCGAGCTGTTGCCTCTCACAATTCTGGAAGAGAGACTGTTCTTGAAGAGGATGTGTCAATATATCCTGTGTGGACTTCACATCTCATTCCAGAGAATGTGGCAATGCAGCTTGGAGGAAGCTTTCACATGACATCGCTTTCCAATATTGAGTCGATCATGAAACTAGGAATTGTCCCTGGTGGAATGGAGGGATATAGAGGTAGTGTTTTCTTCAACCACTTTGCGCCGTGGGATGATCGATCATCAAAGATTCTGAGATCAAGATGGCCAAGAGGGGGAATGCCCGTTTGCCTTTATGTTCCAATCATGACTTTGAGGAAGCTTGGGGGAAGAATTTCGGAGAATTCCTACACTGTTGTTTTTAGAGAAGTTCCATGGAGATGTGTACGAGGTGCTTGGTATTGGGACGACCACGTTCAGGCATGGAGGAGACTCCTGCTGGGAAGCACTGGAGAGCAAGTTGTTCTAGCGGCGCGTCATGGACTTTGGGTTGCTCAGAAGCATACCATCCTCGAGAGAGCCGACGAAGTCACGAAGTCAGCCTCGGCGACAGATGACAACGTCCAAAAGCTCGTGTCCCTTATCGATGAAGTACGATTCGATGACAATGGAGAGCTGATCGAGGATTCCATCAGTGAGGAAACTTGGGACGAAATCATCTCCAGAACATGTGAAGGGTATCGCAACGTGGATGGCAATATTTTGTGTCCATCATGTATGCATTTGACTTCTTCATCTTTGTCCGTGTGTCTATCTTGTCAAGGCAGGCTACTCTCGTGTGGTATTCGCAACACTGTCATTTCCGATTCACCCGTTGATCTTGTGAGCGACGATGAAGAGGAAAAGAAGGAAAAGAGGGAGCCTGAACATGATGATCAAGATATATTGGACCAGGCCACTATGGACGAGATCAGAAAGGCTTGGGAAGAAGACATCGCTCAAACTGAAGCAGCTGACGACGACGAGGACATGGACAATTTAGATCCTTCCAAACCGTCTGATGGTGCAGAAAACTTCAAGAGTGACAATGTCGAGACCCCATCTTTCAATGAGGACGAGATCGACTACGGTCGTGATTCTGATCTAGAAGATGAAGACGAACGAAACGTGATCATCGAGATCCAGAGGAGCACACAACAATATGAGGGGAAGAAACATCAAGATGGTGAGCCCGAGGATGAAGACGTCACCGACGACTTACATCCGGAGGCGAATCGACCGACAGATCGTGATGAACCGGGATACTATGCACAGCATGGAGCGACCGAGTTCAATCCCGAAGAAGGAAGAGACAACGAAGATCTCCCCATCTATTGTCGAGTACCGGAACCTCGAATCTATGCGCATCAAGAGAGAGCCTATTGTCAGGACGTCTCCATGAATGCATCGGGTTTGATGGATAGGTATGTGGTCAAATGTGTGCTGAACATGATCTCCCTGATGTACAAGAGCTACTATTGCACCAGCCTTACCGACTTCAAAGCAAATTGGAAAAGGAAGCGCCTGGATGTGATAAGCAAGTTCGGTACAGGGGATTCCACTGAAATCGATGACGATGGGAGACCATTGGATCCAACAGATGACATGATGTTAATCTTTGCCAACGACAACAATATTACAACTGAGGAGGCCTGGCACCGATTCAGAGGAGAGCAATTCATTTGCAAGGTAGCACTCATGATTCTATCATTTGGTCATACTCCGAAATCCTTCAAGGAGGAATATGGCAACTTCGAATACTCCACCAACTTGACTGACGTCCAGCTTGAGGAGTTGAAAGCGAAGAAAGCCAGCACAATGACTGAATTGGTACAGAAGTGCATCCATGCGATTTATGGGTGTCGGACATATTCTTATTTTAGAACCGACATTACATCACCCTACCACAAGGTGATCGATCCTCTGAACATCATGTACTCGAGAATGAAGAGCAAGTGGGGGAAGTCTATTCTGTTGATCATTGATCAACATGAGATTAGGTTGCCCCCACAAGCTCAGGAAGTCATAGAGTCAATGGCCAGAAACCCCAACGTTGGACATACAGAGAGATGGATGAGCGTGGTAGAACACAAGCATGTTCAAGCTCTTACCAATCGTCTAGGATTTGGAGATAGGGCCAAGGAGATTCAGGGCAAGAAGAAGCAGGCAGCCAAAACAACAGCTAAGTCAACATCTACGACTAAGTCTGAAGCGAAGGCAGCATCTTCGTCAAGAGCTGAGGCAAAGCCAGCATCTACACCCAGAACCGAGGCCAAGCCGTTGTCAGCACCAAGTGAGGAGCCAAAACCTTCAACAGCACCTAAGAGTTTCGGGCCCTCATCAGCAGAGGAGAACAAGGTGAAGGCTGCTCCAAAAGCCAGACCACATGATAAATCACCATCCAGTGCTACCGATGTGTTTGAGCAAGCTTTGCAGGAAGATCTTGCCGCCAACGCACATGCAGTAGAAGGTACAACTTCTTCATCATCCCGAGGACATTCCAAAGGAGGAGGCCAATCTGGAACATCTTGGAGGCCGGCGCTAACGCAAGAACGTCGCGAAGTACCTCAACCTTCTGAAAAGGGGAAGGGAAAGAGCAAGTCCAAGGGAAAGTCCAAGAAGGGAGAAGATGATCGATGGGATGCTCAGGGCAGCTGGGATCATCGTGGATGGAGAGGTTATCACCAGTGGTGATTTCTTTGAACGACTATGAGGATACCATGCAAACCAGGGAGGAAATCATTCACCGGATGTTTATCTGACCTGAAACGCTGTAAGTGTATCATTGCAAATCGTCAATCTGATTTGATACCATGAGCATAATGGAAGGAAGACAATCACCGACTGTCTCTCCGACTTGCCGTTCTGTAAGTGTATCCAAACCAAAAACCTACATCTTTTGAGAAGTGTGAAGTCAGTTGCCAATGTGACATCTACGTGGAAGTCACCAGTTCGGATCTACATCAAAGCGATGCTCTTTTGAGTGGATACTGAGCGAGGCCTCGTGACTGTCTCACTTGTTCAATTCGATTTTTTTTTCAAAGGGTTCTGAGCCATAGTTGCACACTTTATATGTAAAAGTCCGCTTTAGTCCAGCATGTTTCGTAGTATGAGCCTCATAAGAGTCTCGCGGCAAATCATACAATTTCTTTGTAGCACTTACATCCCTAAATTTTCGTGTGTGATCGGAACATATTGTTGCCGTTCACATGGGGGGTGCGAATGGAAGTGCAGCGACATGTACAGTGCAACATGTACATATATATGTACCATATGTACTTTGGCTCAAGGATCAAGCGACTAGAAAAGGTGCGGTTTCCGTTCCGACGCTATGCCGCTTATGGACCGTCAGTGATAGCTTCAAACTTCGCTGATTAAGATCCACTCGCATCAAGGATACCTTCTGGCAAGATCTGCAAGCACAGATTTTGAGGCTGGGGGTTGTTGAAGAGATTTGACACAGAAAGTGCATGCAAAAGCATTCCAGCTCCGAGGTCTAAGGTGCACTTTGGGCGTTCACTGCGTTCACTCTACTTTCGTCAATTGCAGAAATACATACGTCACACGCAGACGCACTCAGGGTCCAAGTAGTAGATCTGCTTTGTTCCGTTCCACAGTTCCGCAGTGCACCAGGTCAGAATCATCAGGTGGGAGGGCGTCCGGTGGGACGACGCGTGCGGTCACCTTGGGGGCCAGCTGCTCCGGGGCGAGGCGCGTCCTGGGCCTCAGAGGCTGTCGCGGAAGACTGCGCTGGCAGAGATAACTTACGTCCATTTACCGTACCCCGTAAATGTGTCTTGGGGCTCCCGCAAACAGAACCCGATGCAAAAAATCTACTTGTTTTCCGCTACTGACTACTGACTAGCGCATGGGTTGCTTGCAAGCACGGCACGCTGACGCCCCGGTGCAGGAGTATCAAAAGATGACCGAACAGGCGGTCGAGAAGTTGAGAGACGACCCTGAACTAAAGGAGAGGCTGCGATTGGACAACCTGGGCCCGACCGGACATGGCGGGACTGGGCGGGGTTCCATTTTTCTAGAGCCAGATGACAAGGGTCTCTGGTCAGACAGACATACTTGTAGGCAGTCTCCAGGAATTTTGAGGCATCCAAAAGATTGTTTGTTAGGACGTGCGCTCCTAGTCATCCCAGGCAAGCAGATTAAGTGGTCTCAATAGGAGATGGGTTCATGTTTCATTCGTTTGTGGTTCATGGCCCATGTTCCACTTCCATGTTGCTCATCATGCCGCGCGCTTGAATAGAATCTTGGATGGTTGTCCTCACCAGTCTATGCATGCTGGACTGGCCATGAGTGTAGCATCACTGGATTGTGCAAGATATCAAATTGAATTTGGGGTAAAGTGCTGGGGAAGATGAAGGGTAAAACCAAAGCTGCCACCACAATTATTCTTACAGGTTAATGACCGAGTTTTTTGTTGTGCGACATTGCTGCAACTCCATGTGGTGATCTGCTGACATGTGCTCTATGCTGTATGCGCCATGCTTTGCTCTTGCAGGATTTCTTCGAAGATGTGAAGAAGAGCGGGATTTCGGCCATGAAGTCAGGGTGGCGGGTGTTTCAAGTGACAAGTGGTCAAGACAAGATTTGCATTTGGAGCCTGCTCATTGTTATACCCGTTAGACAACCCATATTAAAATCCTAGGGGTCAACGATTTTGGCGTTATTCAACGGGTATCTTGTTTAGACATGTTTTTGAGCCACACCCTGAGGCAAATCTCGCGGAAGCGACTCCTTGGAACATGCACCGGCCAGTGTTCGTCATGGCTAGCCTCAAATGATCCTGAAGGCGAATATGGAACTGAGAAGACAGAAGCATGGATAGATGGGCGACATAAGTCCACGATTCCCTTTGTTTGCAGCAGTTCCCGAAATCCGAACACCTCGATTTCACCGGGTCTTTTGTCCGCGATCGCCTGCCGAGAACAGCGAGAAGTTTGTTCAGTTCATTTCTTGATTTGGGAGACGTTCGTCGGTTTACTCAGGGGGCAGATGAGCCCTTGAATACCGAGACGCCCAGCTGCAGGATTCTGATTCTTGATCTGAAGTTCCAGAGCCACTGAAGGCTGAAGGCCGAACGAAACGCCGCACCGGAAATCGAAGGAACGACCGTGTGTCGTTCTGTTCTCCAAGCCAAGGCCAACGAGAAATTGAACTGGGGCTACTTGCATTATATAGTCCACCATAGTCCACCTCATCCTGCACTCGACTTGTGAGGTTTGTGAAGCTTTTGATTTCAGGGCCACTCTTCTGTTGACATTCTTCGAAGTCAACTGCTCACCAGTCTACTTCGACTCCTCATTTTTCATTTGAAGAGTGCGTTGGTCACTTTGGTCGTTGTTCCAAAACAACTCAGGCTGGATGGTTGGCAATCGAGAGATCCCCTTCTTTTTTCTTTTTTTTCTCTCTCTCTCTCTCTCTTTTTCTTTCTCTCTTGACCCATTCTACATCTATCTCGTATGCAGTATGCAGTGCTGACATGCGTTATGAAAGAGCAAGGGCAAGAAATAGAAGTGGTCTAGCAGTAAGGGTAGCTGTCCTATGCTGACTCAGAATCAGAGATCGATAAGGGCCATATCGGGAATCTCTCTGTCTCTATACAAATATTCAAATCAATCTGAATCTCAATCTCTCAATATATAAACGTTTCTTGGTCACTGGTATGACACTTTTCGATGTTTCGTTTTTGAGCGCCATCTCGCTCTCCGGCACGGAAAATCCACACCCAACAACACCGCCGCATGTGCCAGGTGTCCAGGCCGGGATGAATCAGATGTGCCCGGCGTAGGGCCTCTCAGATGATGGGCGAGATGGACGACTCGATGGACAGAGTCAGACAGGCGACAGGTGTTCTTTCAGCAGAGTGGGGGGACTGAAGCGTTAGTGGGTGGTTTGAAGAAGATCAAGTGCCGAATCCGAAGGAAGAGCCCGTTGTGGACGAGTCGTTGCGAAATACCGGGGTGAACTAATCCAGATCACCAGCGAGTGAAGCTTTTTCGCGCTGGTGTGTGGATCAGCCAAGATCACACGAAGCCCAGTTCCTCCAGTAGTTCATGGCGGAATCGACGCCAGGTGGATGGCATGGCCCCGATTTCGGATGACCCGGTGGTTTTTCACTTCCGTGTACTTCCAAACTTGCCTACTAGATCGACATGGCCTGAAAGATGCTCTAGGGAGGTGGTTGGCATTGCCACAAGGCTCCTGGTCTTTGAAGGAGTCTTTTTGGGGCACTGGCTGCCACGGGAACGCGGATTGTGGGGAAGTTGATCAGATTGAGCTATAGTCCTGATGATCAACTTCCCCATGATCAATCTGAGCAACGGATGATTTGGTGAATGATGATCAATCTGTTGATCAGGTCGTAGTTCTTTCCTTCCGATGATTTGCTCAGCGGAAGACCCCGACAATGTGCTCCACTGGAGTGGGCTTGTGGTTTCCAGTCCTCCATGCCAGCCGGGGTGTTGATGGATTCAATAGGAATTGTATGGAATTATCAAGAATGGGGTGAGGTATGGATCATCCAAGAATTCTACAAATACCCAGATACCCAGTGCAAGCGCCACTGGGCGCTGGGGTTACGGGGCGTTGCAGGGCGTTACAGGATTTCATTAACAACTGGTCAGATATATATATATATATATTGTTGTTGGAGACGAAAAGGGACTCAATACTGTTTCTAATCGCTGCCAGTGATGAGGACCGAGTTGGATTGAGCAATCTTTGATGGACTATCTTCCAAGAGTCCAAGACCTTCTGAGCTTTTTCGGACCACGTCTCAACTCCTGTGTGCGCCGTCTCAACTCCTCGCACGTGCGCGGCCCAGGTGCCGGATGAATTCGGATTTGCATTGCTGCATGGGGGCGCAAGGGAGAGGAACAGATGGAAAAGGAATGGCGATGAGACAAGGGGAGGTGGAGATGGGCGTTTGGGTGTTCGCCCCAAACCCACAAAGATCCACACAATGAACACGCCTTTTCTGAGCAAGAGTGTGTTATCGAAACATCTCCCTCAAGTCGACTTGGTGGGGCCGCAGCGGCTCCGCAACGATGTCAACTGCACCCAACAAACGCATGTGTATATATATATATATATATACACATGTATATATACTCGAAAATATGCATAAAACACTGTAAATACCAATTAAAAACAAAAGAGGTAGACATTTTTTGGGGTACCATATATACATATATATATATATTTATATATACATATCCTGAGGCCTCCTCCCTGTGCAGTTTATTTGACGCTGGTGTTCTGGATGGGTAAAGATGCTGCTAGAACATAATTCAACCGCTGAATCACACAACTGCCGCCAAGATCCTCCAAGTATACACAAACCATCACCCTGGAGCCCCCACACACCTTAGTGTTTGCAATTTTGCCGACGAAGTCTTCAGACCTGCTGTTATCGAAGCAGCTTGGCGATAGAGTGGCCACCTGGTTCCGCTCCGTGCTGTCATCAAGATCGGCTCGAACGTGAACCAGAGCGTGTAGTTTTGGAACCCATCCCATAAAGAGAGTATTTGTTCTCTAGCAGCAAAATTTAGCTAATCGACAGTAACAACTCGCAAATCTCTGAACAGCCCTTGCAAGGTGACAGTTGCAGTTCCTTTTCAACGAAAGTCCATGGGAAAACAGGCCCTGACCCCATGAAATCCCAGCATTTGTACCATCCAAAATCCATTTCAGGGTTTGTTCATTCTCCTTGGACCACCCATGTTGCTGCAATTGGAGTGCGGCAAAAACATTGAACCACTTCAATATAATCATGCTGCCAGAGCCTTTGCACCCCAGCCATGGGAATGCCTTAACACCTCCATAGTGCACGTTCTGCAGAGTGAAGCCAGGAAGACGAAGTCGCAGCTTGTATATGTAGCAGTAAAGCCTTAAGGAGCCATAGGCATATGATGTTTTCAAAGTGCATATCCAGACCATCCATGTATGGCAGAATATGGCACTCATATTTACCTACATTAAGCCTTGAACCATGTTGAATTAAAATCATCCCAATCATATCCAATCTAGGCAAATCTTCCGTACATTGCATTGCTAGTGCATGTTAGTACATAGGCCAACTGGCCCCGTATTCAGCCTCCCTGGATCACAGCCCGTAACACAGCCCGCATCGGGACTGCGCGAGGCGCGGCCGCGTGGCATGCTCGTCGTCACGAGGGTTTTCCGCCAGTCTAAAATTCTAACTCTTGCGAACGCACGGAGTTGAGATAAATGCGCGTGATGGGGTGCGCTCCAACTGAAACTTACAGTGGACTCACCGATCCATAAAGACCAGAGTGTTTCAGGGCAACCGATAGCCAGAAGCCATTTGACACCTGTTTCGAAGGGAACATACCATATTTCTGAGAGGCTGGTGTTCAAGAAAAGGAGGTAGTGAGGTCCTAGACACATGGACTATGACTATGCCTCATGCTATGAGAGTGATTCAAAACGCCGGCTTTAGACGTGTCCCATTTTTGCGTCCTAAAGGTTGACTGGAGAACCCTGGTGCCAGATGTGCCACTGAAAACATCTGAATACATGTACCTCCTTTTGTATCTTTTGGAGGTTGGTAGGTATAAGCCTGACCCATGAGGAAAGCCCGTGCGGTTCCACTGGAAGCCTTTGCCTTCAGGATGGTGTTCCTGGCAACGACGGCCCGCGACCCAGAGGCTGCGCCTGGTGCTCACGAGTTCCAACTCCCAACCTGACAGACAGACGCATCAATCACTAACGGAGCCAAGTGAGGTTTGCATCGAAAAGGATGAAGCTGCAGCGCGCAGGCGCAGCCGTGCCTCATTTACCTTGGGATCTGGTTTTGCCTCCTTGCGGGTATAGTGGCATTGTTTGGACCTTTGCCATTTCAGTTGTCAATGGCTATTTGGGTATTCCGACAAACACTTGGCAGACATGGGTCACACTGCGTCTACCGCGTCTACACCGTGTCTCCGGGCATTCAAAGCCTACACCATCCAGTAGTATCTGACGCAAACCAGACAGAACGACAGAGCTGTCAAATATTGCCTACAGCTTCTATTTGACCAAAGAAATTATTTAAGAAGCAACTTCAGGTCATTGCTTGTTGCCACTTGTTGCCTAAATGATTCGACGGGCTTGGCAGCTGCGTTCCTTCGCTTAGCCTGGTATGGGCGAAACCACCAAACCGTATTTTGGACAAGGCTGCATTTGTGCACAGGGAGACAATTGTAGATGGATCCAGCTTGCTAGAGAGTGGACACTTTCAAGATGGATGATTATAAGCAGAACACCTTAAAGTCTGATGGATGGTTCTTGGGACCATGAAGAATGCGAAGTGGCTCGCAAATCATATGGATAGTTTGTGGGTGCCACACCAATGGGTTTAGTTCTCCTCCTCAGCCTGTACCTGGAAGGGGTCAGGGGCCTCGCCCTCCTTGAGACATCGCGTCCGTTTTGCAGCTTCGTGGTCAAGATGATCCCCAAGCTCTTGGCGGAGGCCCCAAAGGGCGATGGCACGGTCTCTAGGGGCGGATCATCGTTCATTGGACTAGACTGAATCACATTAACCTCATCAAACTGAAACTCGAAGAGCTCTAAAATCCAAAAGGGGGTATTATTCTTAATCAACAGTCTACATTATTAATGTTTTTTCATCAACAAATATTTTGTCGTCTCCAATAACAAGCGCGGGGATAGTGAGTTGCGCCGTCTACTTTTTATGAGGGAAACCCAGCAAACATCGCCGGTAGACGAAACCAACGGTGATTGCAGAGGTTGGTCCATCCTGACTCGTTTGGTTCAAGTTAACGCTGATTTTGGGAAAGCAACTGTTTTTGTTCATCAAATTTTGTGTATGTATAGGTTTGATTCACCCATCGACCGCGGAATATAACTATGGGGAGAAGATGGCGCAACACTTTTAGAAGTAGGCCAGGTGTCATGGGTTGAAAAACGCCAAAAGCAGGGTTGGCGTGACTAATTCCCTGTCGGATATGGCTGGCTTGCTTCCTTATAGATGCTGGTGTCAAATTTAACGAGTTGACAGGTTGGAGACCAGGCCACGCCTAGTTGCAAGGTCCACTCTGGCAAGAACTAAGGAAGTTTTAGAGAACCTCTGCCAAGACTCACCCCCAAGTCTCCATTGAAACAGCATCTGAGCCCCATGCCCATTGGTATGAACACAGCGGATCATAAATTCCCGGTCATAGAGTTGTTCAACCGGCGCATCTACAGGAAAAATCAACTGGCCTCTCACTGTGAGGCATAGGTCAAGATTTCTTTGACAGTTGATGGGGAGTCGACATGGGATTATATTTCAATGAATTCCGGGGGATCTATGACCCTGTGCAATATGCCATATGGGTGTGCAGTTTATTATGGAGACAATGGGTTTTGTTCAGGCCGATGAATATCGCCTGGAGATTAAGCAGCTGAAAGAAGAAGCGGCGCAGGTGGGATTGTGCTTCTGATCAAATGCACATCGAAAGGGCTTCTGCAATACCAAAAGCTGAGCTTCTCCACCACTT